AGTTGGTTATAGTGTAAGAAGTATCCTGGCACTGTCTCACAATCCAGTGATTACACACTTCCTTCTTGCCATACAGATTAATAAAAGCAATAATAACTTGAAAGTGGTTAGCCGGAACTCTCAGCCAATCACCATCACCTATTGTTGCACAAGCTTCATTATTAACCTGAGCAACACAGAGGGTGTGGACTGCTGCAGAGGCTTGTTTAGCATGAGTCCATTAAAATGGCTTATCACATAGTGAAAGCATGGCACCAGGGGTTTTTAGACACTATCACCACTTTCATAAGATGGATCCATTACAGTGCCTTCAGTGTCCCTTTATATTTTCCCTGGAACCTGGGTGTAAGCTATCTACATCCATTAGTTTCAATTTTGTTTCAGACCTGAGACAGATAAAGAGTCAGTCAGTATTCTTCAAAGCTACCATCTTCCATAAATCCCATATATGACTTTACTGGTAGAATTTTCAAATGAGTGAAGACAATATCCCAATGAAGTAAATAGCAAGGTTAACAAACCCACCATAGAAATGACTGCCAAAAGTAATAATAGAATTTGAAATAATGTTTCATCTCCAACCAAAACATCACATATCCACAAACAAAAGCACTCATTAAAACAGTTGGCAATTACTTTTAAATGTCTACACTCCCTTACTGTATTCTAAATCATCTTACTTATAGTCTGACCAGAGAAATATACCAGATAAATATACACATATGTGTACAATACATGTGCATACACTTTTGCACTTCCTTATTCACTTCTTACTGGAATCACTATCATCCTGCATTTCCCTTTTCGTATGAGTAGCAAAATCGCTTGTTTTTACCCCCTGCCCTCCATGAGTCACATAATCAAAACTAACAGATTATGTGGAAGGAAATAAAGAGAATGGCTGTGAAATAAACATCAGAAGGAATACATTGTGTTTAATGACAGTGCCAGCCAAAATGTGCCAGGCAGTTAATAATGCCAGTCATCCTGTGGACTGCATTATAAGAAGAACACAAAAATGCGAAATCCATTTGTTTTGGACAATCCAATAATTATGCTAGCAGTGGAGGGACATTTTTTTTTCCACTGACAGAGATAAATATATAATTGTGAATACACTAGGCAGAATGGATTATATTAAGCAACATTACAAAAAATGTCCTGAGGTGCCCTAATGCCACTAGATAGGGGCTAATTTGCTAAATCTTATATCGGTATAACCTATTTCAGATAACCACTATGGGAATCATACCAGTATATGTAAATATAAGCTATTGTCTGTCTGTCAATAAGAAAATGTGATGAAAGAGTGGTATGCCTGATGCCAGCTGTGCTTTACGCATAGAGTACTTTTACGGTTTCCTCGCAGTGATAATGGATCACCATATTACTGTGTGGGCAGGGAAAGTATTAACAGCTTTCAATATAAAATGAACCTCCTTATTGTCTTCCTATACAAGATAAATAATACATGTTTGCATATCTGCACTGTTTTCTTTATGTGAAGGAAACTTGTCTGGAATTTTTGAACCTGTAGTCTGAAATTCTTACAGCATTGGTTAGCTAGAGAGGCAACTAGAAAACTTGCAAGTTACTATGGGTGGGCACCATGCCGTAGCCGATGCTGTTAAGCTGCTAAGTATTGATTGTTATTGATTAAAAATATCTTTGATCATAGTTTAGCTCATTTTAATACTTTGAGGGAATCTTTATTATGGCATGCTCTGATTTGCACATTCCTCAAACTGTTATTTAGCTTATTTAAATATCCCCAGGCTCTTGTAACAGCATTTAAAGCAGCCTATCAAGAGCTGGATCCATTACTCACTGTAACAAGAGATGTATATATAACATTACCAACATCATTCCTTACTGACAAAATATAGAAGAACATTAAGCACGTGTCTGTGACCACCATCACTTGTGTATAAAGAATATGCTGTTCATTTAAAATTTGGATTGATTAACCTAAATAACATGATTAACAATACCTTAATACTCATGCAAGTATTTCCTCTGTAATTTCATATGCAGTGCTAGGCTACTTTGCACTAAACCTGGAATAAGTAAACCCACACATTTTTGAAGAAAGAGTGTTCCCATTATTGAGCTAACATCCCAATGTCCTCATTTACATATGGTAATTAGTGATGTCTGGCATTACCTATTGTTAAAACCTGTTTGTGTTGCCCAATATGAAATAAAATACTAAAGTGTTGGAATTATTAATATTATTATTATAATTAATAATGCATTTTAGGTATTTAAGCATGATTTCCTCTAAATGATATCATTCAATTAATTTTGTGTTTTTATGTTTCCATTTGTTTTGGTTTGGCTGGTTCTTTATTGTCTATACATTGCCTTCAACTTAATTGAATTCTGTATGAGATCAGGCAGTTTTCTTTATTCTGAACTACAGAAAATCTCTTACAATGTGTCTGCGTAGATCTTTTCGACAAGATTGTTAGAATTTTCTACCAGTGAAATTGCCCTACTCACAGGTATTAGGGACAAGCCCGAAACCTGTGAAAGTTAGATAGCTAAACTATTATTTTTATGATCTAAAAAATAAAATATGTTTTAAAACTATAAATATTTTTGTGTTTAGTGCCTCAACAGTTATTAGCACATCAGCCTATATATCATAGCTACAAATCTGAATACAAACAAAAATTTGAAGTGTAACATAGGTCTCATTTTCAACCTTGTCCATAAATTGTTGCTGTAAGTCAAGCATGTCAAACCCAAAGTGTGGCACGGGCCACATAAACAAGGTTTAAGTTTATGTGGGCCGCACACACACACACATTCACTCACTGACAGACAGACACACATACTCACTGACAGACAGACAGACACACATACTCACTGACAGACAGACAGACATACACACACTCACAGACAGACAAACACATACTCACTGACAGACAGACAAACACACACACACAGACAGACAGACACACACTGACAGACACACACACATACTCACTGACAGACACACACATGCTTGCTGACAGACACACACATACACTCACAGACAGACACACACACACTCACTGACAGACACACACACACAGAAAGACATACAGACACTAACTGACAAACACACACACTTACTGAAAGACACACACACACACTCACTGACAGACACACACACACAGAAAGACATACAGACACTCACTGACAAACACACACTCACAGACAGACAAACACATACTCACTGACAGACAGACAAACACACACACACAGACAGACACACACTGACAGACACACACACATACTCACTGACAGACACACACATGCTTGCTGACAGACACACACATACACACACTCACAGACAGACACACACACACACTCACTGACAGACACACACACACAGAACAGACATACAGACACTCACTGACAAACACACACTCACAGACAGACAAACACATACTCACTGACAGACAGACAAACACACACACACAGACAGACACACACTGACAGACACACACACATACTCACTGACAGACACACACATGCTTGCTGACAGACACACACATACACACACTCACAGACAGACACACACACAATCACTGACAGACACACACACACAGAAAGACATACAGACACTCACTGACAAACACACACACTTACTGACAGACACACACACACACTTACTGACAGACACACACACACACTCACTGACAGACACACACATACTCACTGACAGACAGACATACTCACTGACAGACAGACAGACACACATACTCACAGACAGACACACACACACACACTCACTGACAGACACACACACACAGACACACACTGACAGACACACACACACAGACAGACACACACTCACTGACAGACACATATACTTACTCACTGACAGACACACACACACTCACTGACAGACACACACCTACTCGCTGCCACCAGAGACCTCTCCTCCCCGGCTGGGTAAATGATAGCAGAGTAGGCACCTGCAATATGGGGAAAGCAGGTACTCGTGGCTCGCCGGGCCGCAAAGATGGTCCTTGTGGGCCGCGAGTTTGACATGCTTGCTGTAAGCTGTCACTATTAAGAACAGTGAGGAGTTGGAAGCAGCTACTAATTACTGATTGTCAGTTATGTTTTAATTGACTAGCCAACTTTACCATCTGCTCACGAAGATACTTGTAGATTAGTCACTCACAGGTAAAGGAAACAAACATATTCTGTGTATGTTACGACCATTAGCAGGCACAGCCATAATTTGCCAGTAATACAAGTTCATCCAGAGCAAGCATACATCACCCTCTGATTGGAATTAATTAATATATTATATATAACTAATATAAAAACTAATATATAAAAAAAGAGAGCAGAACCAATGTTATTAACATAAAAAGTAATCACATGACTCTGCCCCGGCTCATGGAAAAAGCAAATACTATAAAGTTACTTTCGTAACAATGAAGTGGACTGGGTGTGGTGGTCCTAAATTTTTAACCATAAAATGTAAAGCATTGTTTACTTTGCCATGTTAAATCGTTCTCTAGTGACTGTCATGCAGGACAATATTGCTTATTTGTATTTGTACTATTATTTCGCGCAACCTGTTTTTCCTTGTGAAAAATGTCTGCGCACTGTTTGCACACACTATGTACTCATGCCAGGAGGTGGGTTGTGATGTCATCCCAGCTACAGAATCAGTATGGCAACGTGGGAGCTGTGCATTTAATGCACAACGTGATCCCAGTTGTTATAGTGGAGAACGAACCCATACAAATGGGTTACACTGGTGCAAAGGCAACAAACTTTTACAAAAGGGAAATCCAAACAGAGGCAGAAGAAGCTTCACTGATAAAGCTTCTCTTGCTGTTATTTGAATTTTTCATTTTGAAATGCCAGTGTTCGCCGCTGTTGTTGCACCAGACATTTTTGCTGTTGTTTGCAATTTCAGCAAACATGGATGCTCTTTGAATATGCCCATAGTACCATTTTTGCTCTGATTTTTAAACTATATATATATATGGCACTTGCCACCTCTGAATATATTTATGTGTATCTATATATATTCTCTATATATATATATAGAAAAAAAAGATACACATAAATATATTCAGAGGTGGCAAGTGCCATATATATATATATATAGTTATATATATATTACATTTCCTGGCTAATCATAACAGCATATACACATGGGTTAGCCCCTCCCCTTACAACCGATAGGACAGAAATGAAACAAATTTCTTTGAAAGGAGTATCCTTGCATAGTCTTTTTCCTGTCCTACAGCCCTTAGGATGTGAGCATTTTGCTCCCTTTACTCAATAACATGTATGTTTTTTCTCTTCATTACTTTATTTATTTTTGCTATTTTAGGGTGCCTTATGCTGTAATGCCTTTAAACTGTGGTGCATTATGCAGCTGTGCCTTATGCTGTGATGCCTTTTATACTAAGATGCCTTTAACTTTGGTTATTTTTTGCACATTGTTGCCTTTTTATCACCTTGAAGCACTTTTACTTTATGCTTCCCCCTTGGTCCCGGAAAATTATTCCCTGGGTGTTCAGTGGACATGGATGCTACTGACCGAGCTCTCTCCCCAGTCTCTAGCCAGCAAATGCACTTGGAAGACACGCGCGTATGTGCAGTTTGTGCCTTAAGGGCCCAAGACCGATGACTTGCATTATGGGAATACAGATTGCGGTAGCCATCTTGGATTAGGGCAAATGCCAGAAAGTACTTAAAATGGATGGAAAAATTACTGTAAACATCCCAAACTTATTTGGAAAGTATTTGCAGGTTCTCCAGACATGGGTAAGTGCTGTTCTCATTTAGTTTTACATCTGCTTGACTGTTTTCTTGGTTATAGAATTTGACAGTGCCCTTTTGTACTTTTATACTTCGCCACATGTAATATTTTTTTGTTTGTTTATTTTATGTCTGAATCTACACCATGTTCTGATTGTGATGGAAATGCAGTGGTAGGAAAACCGTTATGCATTGCCTGTCTTCAGACGGTAACCTCTTCAGCTTCACCTATAGCTGTGCAGCCACAGGACATGTTGGCATGGCTTATAAAGGAAGTTGCAAGGTATTTTCTGAATCTACACCATGTTTTGGTTCTGATGAGAAAGCAGTGTAAGAAAAACAGTTATGCTCTGACTGTCTCCATAAGGTAGCTGCTCCAGCATCACCTATACCGGCGCAGCCACATGACAGGTGGGACGAGGCTACCACTTGAAAACTCTGTTTTTTTTGGGGGGGGGGTTTACGCAAGCCTATGGATCAAAAGTGGACGCAGACCTGTCCAAATTTATACGCCTGCTGATGCAGGTTGTCATCCAGCTGTAGTTTCACTGCTGTTTCTAGAATCATGAAAAGAGAGATCTAAATGCTACTGTGGATAGAGATATTAAGAGCCAAGATTGAAGATGCAATCTGGAGTCTTCAGGTTACAAGTGACTTCTTCACAGAAGCTTCCTTAGATGTAACTCTCAAACAAAGCATTATCTATAGCATCTAGGAAAGCAATATGGTTCTGCTTCTGGGATGATGACTCATCCTCCAATTCTGCTCTATATGCCATTCTATTTGAAGAGGAGCTGCTGTTTGGGAAAGCTGTTGATGAATCCATTTAAAGGCAGCTGAGGGCTGCAAGGTATTTGTACCTCAGGACTGAAGATCCAAGAATCCGGTTCCTCTGGGTCAGACAGGAGAACCTCCAGTGACCAGCATGTCTGAGATACATGGAATTACTGACCCTGCAGAGTATACTCTAGAGATAATGCGTGGCATTTGGTAACCTGCCTTTCAAGGTTCTAGTAGAGCTATGAAGAAGGTATAGCACTGAAGCTAGTTCAGACACAAGAGTCTCTATACCAACATCATAATTCAGACAGATGAATCAAGGTAGTGCACTGAAGGAATATGTATGAAACCTTCTGGACAAAGATGTGATTTCTTAGGTCCCTTAACAAAAGTGGTTCCTGGGACAACATTCGTCTCTCTTCTGATGCTAAAAGTAAAGGCACACGGAAGTCTATACTGGACCTAAGAAGGGCCAACAATAGGCTGAATGAATGAGCCTTTGGGATGGAGTCAATCAGATCCATATCCTCAGCAATTTTGAAGGACAAGTTCCTTCTCTCTCTCTCTCTCTCTCTCTCTCTATATATATATATATATATATATATATATATATCTCAAGGATGCTTACTATCATTCCAATAATCCTAGATCTTCAGCATTATCTCAGAAGAGAACTTCCAATTAGTGCCCTACCATTTGGCCTCACTTCCGCCCCAAGAACCTTATGTGTGCTTATAGTGATATTGAGAGTCCAGAACATCACCTGGTTCCTTTATCTGGATGATCTACTACTGGTAGCCTCAGACCCACAGAAGGCAGGCGCCCAGAGGGTTAGAGTTCTTTCAGAATGCCTGAAGTTTGGCTGCTTGATGAATACCAACAAGAGCAGTCTTACGCCAGCTCAGAGGATGACTTTTCTGGGTGGAGTATTTTATACTCTGCTTTCTCCTATCTCAGGAACAGTTCCACGGGTGGTGGAAGTTTTCTCTTCCTGTTTCTTCATTTTTGCTTGGTAATAGCAAGAAAGTAGATACAACTACTAGGAATTCCGGCTTTCACCCTCAGACGTGTCAGATCAGCTCAAATGCTTCTCCAAATTCCTTCCTATCTCAGTTAAACAAGAGAAAGATGAATTGGGGACAGCCACTGATGGTGTCACCATGAGTGGAGTTACACCTTACCTGGTAGCTGACAGAGAGAATATGTCTCTGGGCTACCTATGAACAGAACGTCATTGGGCAATTATAAGCTTAGATTCCAGTTTTCAAGGATTGGATACACCTTGTCTGGACCATGTTACACTTGGTCTGTGAATAAGGGAAGGAACAATATTTATATCCAATGTTATGGAATTATGAGTCCTTTGCAGGGCTCTTCTTCACTTTGTAGGGTTGCTGAAGAACAAATGGGTCTGAATTTGCTCAAATATCAATGCAAATTTATCCTATATCAATCATCAAGGTGGGTCTCACAGCCACTTATTGATTAAGCAATTACAGCCCATGATGAGCAGGGCACAAGAGTACAACCAGGGGCTCAGAATACAATAGCTGATTACCTGAGCCAAGTAACAGTGGTCAAGGTGGAATGGCAACTTTGTCCTGACGAATCCTCAGGGTTGACTCAGATTTGGCTGATACCCTATGTAGATCTGATGACCACTTCTTGGAACTACCAGATCCATAAGCTTTTTTTTTCTTCTCATTTTTAGGACCAGAATGCTCAAGGTCAGGATTCTCTTACTCAAATTTGAATTCTCAGTCTGATGTACATACTTTTCCTATCTCCAACGTTCCTAAAGGAAATTCAAAGGAGACAGTGGAATGCCACGAAAACTCTAAATTCCCATGATGAGTAAGTTGAATCTAGAACCTCCAAGGGAAATTCCAGTACATCCAGACCTATAATAACAAGGTCCCTTGACACACCAATATCCTTAAGCTCTGGTGTTGAGGCTGGTGTCTCTAGAAGTATAGGAATCCCTGAGATGGTCATTAAGATCCTCTTACAGTCCTATACATACTTTACAGATTATAAAATTGGCATACTTTTGTCTGTTGGTCTCAAGAATAGAGGTTGGAATTACTCCTCAATCAGGCCTTGATATGGTCTGAATTATAACACTCTAGAGGAGCACAGATTGGCACTTTCCACATGGATGGGTACCCATTGAGCTTTGCTTCATGCAAGCAGCAATTAAATTCAAGCCTCCACTGAGGATATTGAAATCCATATGTGACCTACCTATGGTCTTGCAGGCTCTGACTAAACCACCATTCAAACTTCTAGCAGGAACTTCCATGGTGTCAGCACAGAAAGTGCTGTTCTACATACATTTCTGTATTATATTGGTGCTTATCACCATCGTGAGTAACTCCACCTCACTGTTTTTTTTTTTTTTGTTTTTTTTATATATATATATATATATATATATATATATATATATATATACACTAGATTGCTGTTCACCATTTGTTAAAGGTTGACCCCCCTTTTGTTTTGATTGTGCCTCATATTGTGGGTGACCCCCACTGTTTCTCAATTCATGTGGGTGACCCCCACTTTCAAATTTTCTAGTTGAGTTGCCTCATCTCTTCATTTGCCAACTCTGCCCTATAATTTTACTACACCTACCTGTAGTTTTTTAATTTGACTCCATTGTCATTTCCCTAATAGAGATTATGTCGGAACACCAAGACCCTGCAATCTCTGCTGAACTACGGGATTGGCTGTTCGCCACTATTGCGGAGTCCATTCCCAAGGCTTTAGCAGCTTATCATGAGCAAAATACTACAGAGGTTCATCCCTCTACACACCAATCCTCTGACTCAGAGGATTCCCACCTTTCAGACCAAGAAAGTGCCCCGCGCAAAAGACCCTGGAAAGGGAATAGCGCTACTGCAGGCAAAGGCAAAGCTCCTGCAAAAATTCTCAAACATTCCCAACCGTTCATTATGCAGAATCCGGCAGACCCTCTTGAGGGCTCTACCTCCCAACTAGCTGGTCATATCTTAAACGACTATGATACCAACTACTCTGATGAGGATCCTACGGTGAATATGCCCCAGGATTCCTCAGCATCGGAGTTTAAGGAAACTTTTCAGGTTCAGCATGCTAAGGGTGCCCCTCCATCTAAAGAGCCTGCCTCAGACACCCTCCTGGATGCTTCAGGCCTTCCTTTTTTTTGATCCAAGGGTGATTCCTCACCCATGATCTGCAGAATGGGTCCCTCCTGATCACATTGCCAATTACTGCAAAATGTGGCTTCGCAAGCCCCTTGAGAAAGAACTTAGAAATAAACTGAGGTGTGAATGCCCAAGACCTACTATTCCAGGCAAAGTTGCCTCTACTCCCGAGTTCGACCCCATGCTTGTCACCTTTTTAACTAAATCCGCCAAAGACCCTCGTAATGGTATTGAACAAGGGTTGAAAGCAGCCCAAGACAAGCTTCTGGACATTTCAGGTCCTATAATCCAGATATTTATCCTGGCAGATGAGGCACTCACTAGCGGTGAATTCGATCCACACACTATAAGAGAATGGG